GCCCTCTCTGCCCCCAGCTAACCCCCCCATGTCCCTCCATCACCCCTTACCTCCCACCTGCCTGACCTTTGCCTTCTAGAACTCCTGGAAGTTTCCAACTGGAGCTTTTAATTTGAAAACTCCTCCAGTTCTTAAGCAGTTGGTCCTAGGGTGGCTGCTACGGCCCCTCCCTCTGAGTCAGGGCCCCTCTCAGGATGAAGAGCCCAGCTCCAAGCCCTCGATCTCGAGTTTTGGGCCACTCCTCCATGTTCAGCTTTTTTCGTAGCCTGGTGGGGAGCAAGGGCAGCCCTAAGAGCTCTGACAAGGCCCTGTTGGGAGATGAGGAGTGCCTCTCGAAAGAGCAGGATGCTGTGTCCTTGATGACTGACCGCCAAGGGGGAGTGGGGGGGAAGGAACCCAGGCTGCCCACCAAGGTGCACCATACCCTCTCTGTGGCTCTGCCACAGCACGATCCCTCTGGGCGGGGGCCGGGGGACATGGGGGCCCAGACCACTCTCCCCATGGAGGTCCTGAGTGTCATGGCCCCTGGCGTAGAAGTAAATTGGGTGCTGCCCAGAAGAAGCCAGGAGGGTCTGGGCAACCTGTTGGAGAAGGGGGAGAGGGTCGAGAAGGAGACAGCAGAGGAGGCCTTCGGGGATACAGGGACCTTAGCCAGGTAAGGGACTGGGCTGTGGGTGGTGTGAAAGGGCCCGGGGCGGAGGCATTGAGACAGGCCTGGATGTAAGCTGGGGAAAGATATGGCAGGACCCTTCTTGGGGTGGTGCCAGCAATGTGCGTCCTTGGATGAGTCGAGGGCTGCACCAGGGCACCTGGGGGGGAAGGACGGACACATCAAGGGTGAGGAGGCATCTGGAGATGGGGTGTGTTGGGGGGAAGCAGAGATGAGGGGCCTCCCACAGGTGAGGGGTTGTGGATGGAGGCAGGAACCGGAAAGGAGTGTGCCAGGGTGGGCTGGCTGCCACTGCTTCTCAGCTCCTTTCCGGGCCCCACTCCACCCTGCCTTCCTCCCCACTCTCTCCCTCCTGGTTTCCACCCCCACACCCTACCTCCGGGATGAAGCCCCCAGAGGACTCAGCTGGGAGCTGCTGGGAGCAGGAGGGTGGGGGGCTGAGTAGGGCCTGTGGGAGAGCCTTGGGGAGGGGGGATGTCTGGGGCCTTTACATCTTTGGGCCCCACCTGCCATCCAACCTGACTATGCTTTGGGACCAGGGGCCACTTTGCCCAAGCCCTGGAGGTGAAGCAGAGCCCTGAGGCCTTCGAGAGGGAGGAGGAGGAGGAGGAGTGTCTACTGGATGGTAAGTGTGGTGGCCACAGGCGTGGGGAGGGGCCAGAAATAGACCCTCTTTTTCTAGGACTCTGCAGGGGTGCGGGGCCTGGAAGGACACAGTCTAGAGGAATACTGGAGTCAGGCTACCTGGGGTCGAATCCCAACTTCTCTGTGCCAAACTGTGTGATGATGGAAAACTGTCTCAGTTCCCTCATCCGTACGGTGAGAATGCAATAGTACCTATCCCAGAAGGCAGTTGCAAGGACTAAATGAAATGTCCTTTCTAAAGTGCCCAGAACCACACCTGGCACATAGTAGGTGTTTGCTAAAGAAAACCAGGAAACCTGACCCTCAGCTCAAGCCTCCAGGTGTCCCTGCCCGGCAGGGCCTGGGCCTGGCCTACCCCCAGTGCTGTCAGAGGGTCGGTGACACTGTCCCTTCACAGGAGACCTCAAGCTGGCCTCTTTGAAGGTGAGGGAAACTCCCTGGAACCACCTCCTCACCTTGTACAAGCAGCTTCAGAAACTGACCATGGCCAAGGTCTGTGGGGCCACGCTGGGGGAGTGGCGGGGGAGGCCAGGGCGGGCGCCCCACGGCTGGCTGGGCCCCAGGATATGTGGCTTGGCCCAGGCGGAGCAGTCCTCTTTCTTAACCTCTTGGGAGCTTTACCTCCTGCTTTCTGTTTTATGTGGGGGTGGAGCTGAAGGCTTGGGGCCTTCTCACCTGCTCAGCGGCCTGGCCCGCCTTCAGTTTCCTCTCAAGGAAGGCTTACCCCACAAGGAAGAAGGCGCGGAAGAGGAAACGGAAGAAGAGGACAGCTCATTCAAGCTCTGTGTCCCAGGCGTTGTCACCTTCCAGTCGCCGCTGCAAAAGACATTCAGGCCAACGGATGCCGCGGGTAAGTGGCGCCCCACCTCCCCTTCCAGCGCGCCCGGGCCCTGGGAGTCACGGCGGCTGAAGGCTAGTGGTGTGATACCAGTTCTTACCACCAGGTGGTACCATAGGCCATAAGACGGCGCACGATCGGGGGGCGGGCAGCGTGGCTGGGCGGGGGGGGGCTCCCCTAGCCGGGCCCCCCTGCCCCAGGGTTTGGGAGACGGCCGGTGACGGCTGTGACTGGGGCTGGGGCTCCTAGAGCACCGCCCTCTCCTGGCTGGCATTCTTGTTCAGCGGCCACCTCCATCTCTGGTTTTCCATCATGTGCGCACGGCTGTGACAGGGCCCCAGAGGGCGTCCCTGAGGGCAGGTTAGGAGACAGTCAGGGACGTGATAATCTAAAATCATTGTTGACATTTACATAACCATTTCTCTGGGTTATATCCTTTCCTAAGCGCTTTTCACAAAATAATGTACTGGAGTCTGAGGTAGGTCATCTTATACGCTCCGCTTCACAGTGAGGAAACTAGGCACAGAGAGGTTAAGTAACTCTCCCAAGATCACACAGCTAGTAAGTGGCAGAGCCGGGACTCGAACCCAGGCAGTTTGGATGGTTCCAGATCCATGATCTTAAGTTGGTGGCTGGAGGAAGAGCAGGTATCTGCCCCTCGCATGGTCTCCCCAAGAGGTAGTAAGACTCACACTCATGCTTCAGGAGGAGGCCCATGGAAAGCGAGTTTCTTGGGGAAAGCAGGGCAGTGGAGAGGTGGTGTCTGGCCGGCTCCAGGTAATGGATGAAGAAAGCACTGTGGCTGGGGTGACGGGGGACTGCACAGGGCCAGGATGAGGCTCGGAGAGCCAGACCCGCCGCCTCTTCCTCCTACCTCTAGGAGTTTTCTCCACCCCACGCCTGCCTCTCCCTTGCCCATCTCTCTGGCTCGCAGGTTTTGTGGACTCAGAGTTAAAGAAGTTGCTGGTAGCCCAGCAGGAGTCCCGCCTCCGGAAGACGTGCAGCCATGAGGGCCGGGAGCCACTGGTCCAGCCAGAGATCACCCTGGAGGCGGCAGGCACTGAGGGTGACCTGGTATGCCAACCCGCCGAGGATACTGGCGACGGGGCGAGAAGCCTCCCATGCCACCAGCCCGCCCTGGCTCCCCCCCCCCCAGCCTGGGTAGGGGAGGCTTAATCCCTTCTTGGTGGTATTTCTGAGAGTACAACCCTGACCCCTGCGCACACACACTTCTCCATCAGTCTCCGTCTCGCATTTGACCCAGAGTCCAAATGTCCACTTTTGAGGCTTAAGTTTGTCATTCACTTTCTGTGTGGCCTTGGGCAAGCCCTTTTCCCTCTCTGGGCCTCAGTTTCTTCGTCTGTACATGAGGGGACTTGTCTAGGTGGCTTTCCAGCACATTTGTAGCTCACATAATGTTGTTCATTTTCTATTTTTCCTCCCTTCACACCCATATCCTACCCCCCACAAATACACATAGGTTCTGGGCAGTTTCCCCGCTGGGTCACACCACAAACCACCCACTACCAGCCCTCCTTTAAAAAATTTTTTTTAATTTGTTTATTTGTTTATTTTAAATATGTTTTTATTGACTTTTTGATAGAGAGGGATAGAGACATAGAAACATCGATGAGAGAGAAACATCATTGCACACCCCCTACTGGAGATTGAGCCAGCAACCTGGGCTGATAAGGAATCAAACCAGTGACCTCTTGGTTCCTGGGTCGATGCTCAACCACTGAGCCACACTAGCCAGGCCTATTTTAGCGAGAGGAAGGGGGAGAGAGAGAAATTTGTTGCTCCACTTATTTATGCATTCACTGGTTGCTTCTTTTGTTGTTGTTGTTGTTAATTCTCACCCAAGGATATTTTTTCCATCGATGTGTCTCTCTCACATCAACTGATTGCTTCCTGGGGCCGGGGATTAAACCTGCAACCAAGGCATGTGCCCTTGACCTGGAATCAAACCCGAGACTCTTCAGTCTGCAGGCCGACGCTCTAACCACTGAGCCACGCCGGCCAGGGCTGTCTACCTCCTTGGCATCAGCCGTAAACATTAGGCCTGTCCCAGCTTTTCTGAGTGCATATTGCTTGATCTGTTGTGGAAAAACGTGTTGGTGTCATTTCTGAGTTAATTTCTGTTCATTCATCAGCTCATTCTTTCATTCAGTGGACATATGCCCCTGTCGGTCTGTGTGGTTTACCAAAGGAAAGAGCACAGGGTCTCAGTTGGTTAGAGTGTCGTCCCAATATGACAAGGTTGCAAGTTCAATCCCTGGTCAGGGCACATACAAGAATCAACCAATGATGCAGAAATAAGTGGAAAAACAAATCGATGTTTCTCTCTCTCTCTCTTTCTCTCTCTCTCCCCCCCCTTCCTCTTTCTTTAAAAATCAATTTAATAGAAGAAAGAAAAGAAAAAAAGAGTGAGTGAGCATAGGGTTCAGAGCTGGCCTTTAGCCCTAGTCCCAGCTCGGCACTGACTTGCTCGGTGACGGAATGTAGGCTGGGGCTTTGCCTGTGCACGGGCCTGTTGGAGATGAAACGTGTCTAATCCTCCCCTGCACAGGGCACCCCACTCTTAGGGGATGACTCCCTCTGTGGGGGTCTGACTGCCAGGAGCACAGGCCCGCCAGGCAGAGGGGCGGCCTGTCCTGAGCCTGCGTGCCCATGCCAGAGGCCCCCCTGTGCTCTGGGGACAGGGCTGAGCCACCGCCTCCCAGCCCACACGGAGTCAGCTCGGGCAGGGCCCCTCGCTGGTGCCTTTTCCCTTTTCCCCTTCCTCTTCTCCTCCCCAGAACCACCCCGAGCTAGCCTGTCCCCTACCGCAGGGGCCACAGTCCTGGGGAAGCCTGAGCAGTATGGGGGGGTGTCCTAGGGAATTTCTGGGTGGTGGCTAGTGGGGGGCCCAGCTCAGTCCTCACTTTGGGGACACAGCTGCCTCAGGAATGCCTTCCTCTTGTGGGTGTTTCAGAGGCCCTGTCCTCTTTACCACCCGAGCTCTTCTTATCTGCCCTCAGGGATGCCAAGCTGAGGGGAAAGGAAGCCCCTCAGCCTTTGGGGAGTGCTGGGGGCCTGGGAGAGGGGCGCTGAGGCAGCTGATGCACCACTCTAGGCTGGAAAGAAGGGCGCAGAGGCCCCTTGGTGTGGTGTCCAGCACAGAGGTGAGGACAGGGAGGGCTTGGCTGGGGTGCCGGACTCCTGGGGCTTTGAAGAAACCTCCCAAGTTGGAGCGAGAAAGGTCCCTCCATCTTATGGGAGGGAGGTGGCTCAGGGTTGGTGGGTCTGGGTTGGCTGTGGGACATGGGGGAGGGTTTAGAAAAGGTGCCCTCAGGGTGCTTGTCTCTGGGGGGTATGTGGGGAGGTTCTGGGAGGGGGAGGGGGGCCCTCTAGGAGGCAAGAACCCAAAGTTGCCGAAGCATCTTCTTTCACCCACTTCTGCCCCCAGCGCCTGCTCCTGGAGGAGATGGATGAGATGGGAAACTGGCCTCCGCAGTGAGTGAGGTGGTGCCAGCCGGGCCCTGCCCCCATCCCTGGAGCCAGCGCAGGGAGGGAGCCCCCTTCTCAGGAAACATCCAAAGAGTGCCTGGGGCCAGGGGGTCTTGAGATAAATGGTGTCCATGTGCCTGCAGGGTGTGCCTGACCAGCAAACTGTCCCCACCAATCAGACTCTGGCTGCGATGTTATTAATAAAACCCAGTTTGACTCTGGTCTCCGGGCTGCCTGTCTGCGGGTCCTGCCCCTCATCTTCAACCCGAACAAGCTCAGTTACCTGGGGTCTCAGTCTAGCTCCCAGTCTGTGCCTGTGGGGCTGCAGAGCCCTGGGCTGCGGGGGGAGGGGACAGCAGGGTGTCTGAGCCGGAGGGTGGGCGCTTGTGCACCTGACCAGGGGTGGGGACAACCCTGGCCCAGGCCTGCCCCTGGCTGCACCAGCGTCCCTGACTCCCTCCCGCCTAAGTTACCAGGCCTGGCTTGCGGCCTCACAGGGAAGATCCGGGAATTCTCCAGCAGGAAGTTCCTGCCCCGCTAGCGCGGGGACAAAGCCAGGAAAGCAGCCCCGGGAGCGTGGGGACCGCCTCGGGATGGGCTGGGGCAGGTGAGGGGTCCCTGGGCTGCATAGAGACGGGCCCCATCCTGCTGCTCCTGGTTGCAGCCCACTGTGCCACACTCAGCCGGCGCCTCCGGGGGTCCCGGGTAGAGGGGGCCCTGACATCTAGAAGACCCAACCCTCTGTGATGCCAGCGGCAGGGGTGGGCTAGAGCTGGAGGCTCACGGTGCGGTGTCCTGACCCACCATGAAGGGGCACACGTCAGGGGGAGATCCAGATCCGATGGGAGGGAGGGAAGGCCACCAGCTTTGGACACCAGGAGATGCTGTTGTCTGGAGGTGCTGTTGGCTCTGGGTAGGACCAGGTTCCTTCCCCGCCTTGTGGTCCAGGCTCTGAGGCTCCAGCGTGCGTGCGTGAGAGCTCATCTTACCCCAGCTTTACAGACCGCTGGCCAGGCTTTTTCCGTGGGCAGCCCCCACCCCTCGTCTATTCTGAGGCCTGTTGCAGAGCTGAAGTTCAGTATCAGAACGTGGCGGCCTCTCTTAATCGCGTGTTTGATAACAGCTGCTTGTTGGGTGGATGACACATGCTTAGGGTGGGGGTAGGGAGGTCGCAGTGACTGGCCTCCTGCCCAGCCCAGCCTGTGAAGGTGGGAGTCCCCGCCTCCCATCCCCCAACCATGGAGAGGGCAGGTGGTCCACGAGCCGGCTGGGGGCTTTCTCCTGGGCTTCCTGGCCAGGGCCCCTGGAACCCCTGACTCAGCCTCGGAGCCAGAGGCTGGTGGCAGGGTCCATCTGGACTGCCCCCTGAGTCAGCCAGGAAGCAGCCTTGTGACCATATGACTCACCTGTGTCCTAATTATTTCCTCTGAGAGTTTTGGCTGTTGGAAAGGGTGAGGGCCTTGGAGGGCAGCCTGTGGACTGCCCGGTTGCACCTAGACCCCCGCTCTCCCCTGCATGGACCCCATGAGGCTACGTCTCCTTTCCCTTTCTGATAGCCCCCAAACCTGGTGCCAGCTGCGCCCACTGGAGTGGGGGAATTCTGGGGCCCAGAGCACAACAGGACAGAGCTTCATCCCCTCCCTTCGTCCTGGGTCGGGCCAGCCAGCACCACAATGCGTGAGGGTAGGCCAGGCCCCTCTCACGCTCAGGCTATGAGGAGTGAAGGGCAGAGCCCTTGGCTCGGGAAGGGAGACTCTGCTCCTTATTTCAAGTGAGGGTTGTGT